ATGGATATTGTGATGCTTATGGAGGCTGGAGTAAATGCACCAAAACATGTGGAGGTGGTACTTGTAAGAGAACACGAAAATGCTACCCACCAAAGTACGGAGGAAAAGCTTACGTTGGATATCCTGAAGAAACTAAGAAATGTGGAACACATCCTTGTCCAGGTAATACAATCCTTCATTACCATGATAAGTATAGGTATTGAAAATGTGTAGGTTTATTAAATTATTAAAATTCCGGCATAAAGCTCTGTCTAAAAACAAAACTAGGAAATCATAAATCAATATAATTTGCATTCATGTCTAGTCGATGGATACTGTGACCCTTACAGCAGCTGGACCAAATGTAGCAAGACATGTGGTGGTGGATTCCGTACAAGATCACGAAAATGTTACCCACCTAAATATGGAGGAAAACCATGCCCAAAACCTTCTGAGGAAACTCAATCATGTGGAACTCATCCTTGCCCAGGTAAAAGCAGTAAATGCATCTCAAAGACATTATTGCAATTGTATAGAATAACACGTTTCAAAATGCCAGTGTGCATTTTGCGTTGCAGACACGTTCTTTGCACTGCTAGCACTAGCATCTGCAGTGCACAGAATGGCAAAATGTAGAAATACGATATCAAATGTTGAATGATGCTTACTAAAATGATGCCAAATTGAGTCACATGTTCTTACTTGCTTACCCGCAGTTAATGGCGGTTATTCTTCTTGGTCTTCATGGACTTCCTGTTCCAAAACCTGTGGAAGAGGTCATTGCTCAAGAAGCCGTGCGTGTATAAACCCACGCCCCCTGTATGGCGGTAAACCGTGCAGCGGTGATGCGAAGGAGACCGGAAGTTGTTACATCGTCCCTTGTCCATATCCGGGTAAGATATCTAACTAGAATACAACGGCATGATGACTCAAATTCATCAATTCTCTATCAAAAATTATTTTTGAATATTACTTCATCAATAATGACGGCAATTGCTATAACATTATTCCCTTGGGTCATTTGCGCCCCACCAACTGAAACGAATTTTTTTTACCATATATAGGGAATCTTTTTTTAAAAATATATCATGAGAGATACTGTACCTTGAACGGATTTTTTTTAAGGAATATAAAACGCGCACGTATGCGTATCTCTGTACTGTGACATTAACGAGCTTTGGAACGCGATGTGCAGCTCAGTGTTTCTCTGGCTTTTTGAGAGCTCTACAGCTCCAAGAGTGTTTGAATCACACTACAGAGAAATAAGTAGCTGTTTTATATATTACTTTTATAAAGTACTTTTGAACGATTTTCTGCGAGTCCATGCACTCTGATATAAACACGGTAGCTAGCCAATCAGTGCTCGCTATATTTCTCAAATATTGTATAATCACATAATTACCAATCAACGTATATATATATATTGGATTCCATTTCTTAAAGGAGGCAATCCATATGGACCCCCTCCTGCCTACGACGAAGGAGAAGAATAATAACTTCATGCCTACGACAAAATTCAAATTCAAGGTAAGGGCAAACGGAGAATATAAATCTACTCGACAATAGTCCCCTTCACAGTTCCCTGCGCCTTCTTGAAAGGTAGCCGTGCCTTTGCATCGAAGCAAGACGAACGGTGAGCTTGCAGTGCTAGAGACACTTGAGCGTGATAGAGTCTCTATCATTGCCATGTTCACCGTTCGTCTCGCTTAGATTCAAAGGCACTGCTACCTGGGGCAGGGAACTGTGAAAGGGGCTATTTGAAACTCAATCCACCTTCCATCAGATATCAGACCTTAAATTGCTTAACTTTCTTCTGGGTTCTGTGATAAAAAACGTGCTATTGTTATTCACCACCGCAAGTACAGCAGTGATGCAGCTTAACAGCAGTTAGAAACAATGAGAAGGTGTCTCTCACAGCCGCTATACAGTTCTTGTATGAAACCGGAGCACATCCTTAACCAATTTGAATTAGTGAAAGACGTCGGTTTGAGTGGAAAAAACCCTTGGTTTCATAAACCAACTCAGCTCACTGGGAACAACTGGGATTCGATACCCGAGCGTTTTACTACCACGCCAACCTGACCCCCTTCTCAAAGCACTGAACGGTTATAGTACGGCTAACTCATTTTCTCAAGAATTACTATCAAGCTAGAGAAGTAATGAAGTAATGCCTACGAGATGGGACACGGGCTGAAGCTGGAACTAGTCGTTTTATTTAATTCTTTGTCTTTTTGCAGGAACCATATGATATCATCCAATGTACCGCGTTCAACGAAGTATTTTAGGCTTAGTGATAACCTCGGTGTGATAAGATAAAACATATACTTAATGGCATTCTATAAATCGGGAATGGTTTAGTTCCATGGGACTGAAACAAGGAAAACGTCGGGTAGAAACATACCTGATCAAGAGAAATGTAAAAATATAAGGAATAATAATTAGAAAATAAAGTGAAATATCAAAATCATATAAGTTTTCGTTTGGTTATTTATTCACCCAAGTTATTTCCGTTGAAAGCTTAGAACATAAGACAGTATAGCCATAAACAAGTTATTTGAACTCTCAAAACAATAACATCTGCCGGGGCTTGGGTCTGACATTCAGATAAAATTGTAATTTAGCTTGTTAGAGAACAACTAGAGAACCCGCGTGGAGAAATCCTTCAAATCAAGAGTGAAGCCACGTCCATATTATGAGTTTGTTTTTGAAACGCACATTCGTCTCAACGAAAGCGCATTGAAAACTTTGCGTCCACACTAACATTTCTACGCTAACACGATGAAACATATCTACGATCGGAAATGATGCAATATCGTCACCAGCGCACACAAACAGACGTGCCATGAGTGAATGACGTCAGTGTTTTCCGTTTTCGCCTATTCACGCTAATGCGATAGGCCTCCGTTTTCAAATGTCTCTATAGGGATTTGGAAGATAAAAACATTTCAGCTTTTTCAATTGCGCCATTTTATAATGACGTCACGGTTTGTTTACATCGGCTAAAATGATAGAAATTTAGTCTAAATTTACTGAGCTTAATTCTCTTCTTTCCAGATAAAAATCCGCAAAAATCGCCAGTGTAAACAGGCTAAGACCTTGCTATGACCAGCAAACCCGTTATTTCTCTTGCATCACTGAGGACTAGCCTTCGACGGTCGCTCCTTTCCATATGGGATGCGTTTTGAAAATTCAGCAGACTACTTAATCGTTATTGCAAACCTACAAATACTGGAAGGTTCTTAAATAAACCTTAGGTTCCAGAAAAAAATGTATAAAAGGCGTTCAGAAGTGGCGCGCGTGTAAGAATTTCTGAAACAGGAAGGAAGGGTAAGCGGAGATCATTGACGCAGTAACTTAAGCTCACGAAAGGAATCACCCAATAAATTCAGTCGGGTCACGTACGTATTCTTCTCATTGATGGTCATTTCCCATCAACTTGTGCAACCTAATCAGCCTTGACGCATTCTTGGTGTTTTCAGCTTCGTACTCTCTTAAGAATTCGATGGTGGATCTTGTCATATGAATTAAATTTAATTTGTTTTACAGAATCGTTTATTTTTCTTTATAGTTTTCGAAAAACAAATCAAAGGCATATGCAAAGTTTCAAAAGGATTTCGCGGTATAGTTTTTGAGTCTTTTTTTAGTTATTATTTCTTAATTGGAGAGCATTAAAAAATTAAGTAATTGTACAGTTTCTTATATGGAATTAATACGTATGAATATGAAGACGTTAACTGTGAGACAAAATTTCCTTTTTGCCTTCGCCATCGTCTCTAGTAGGCCGCGCGCAAGAAGAAAACCATGTACTCGCGTCCATTTCCTTTTTCTTTTTTTTTTTT